TGAAACCTTCAGATAGCTGGCCGAAAACAGGAGTGTGTGAGTGCAATATATAGTTATATAGTTATATAGTAACGTATAAGTATATATGCATTGTCAATGATAGCCCCCCCCACCTGGAGATGTGACATTCTGTGACTATCCATTGTTGTTTATTCAACCGTCAGCTCAAGAACTCTGGGCCTCAATACTTCCGTCCATCGCGCAGGTTGGATACCTGTTACCCAATGCAACTGGACCTCACGGCAGGTCGAAGAGGCGAAGCTCCGACAGATCTCAGTGACAGCGGCACCGCATCAGCTGCTTGTCGATGGCCAGTGTCAATCAGTGTCGACGGACGGAAGGACGGTTTGCAGCTGATGCGTTCGACGTGGGACGGTTTGCAGCTCAGCTGGTCGATGGTTGCTATGGCTTGCTTTTTTCTGGTTGTCCCTTCCCAGACACTCCATGGGACTGCCTTATATGCCTATATACATTGAACCCCCAAACCACCCCAATGTATATAGGCATATATGGCAGTCCGATGGGTCGTGTTTGAGCTTCTTCCAAAGGGCTGACTGATGGTTGAGCCGAGCCGAAGGCGGGACCTCGCCCGCGGCGCAAACCGCATACCGCACCATCCGGTCCTGCGTTGGTCGGCGTTGGTCGACCATCGACGCAGGTCATCCAGCTTTCAGTGGCACATAGTAGCACCTCGCATTCCTCAAAGACCCTCTTTTTGAGTCGATCTTTCTAACGACCAGCTTTCTATGACGGGACTTCATCCGACCGGAGAGGGGAAGAAGAACGACCTGCCCACCTTGGGGACCCGTGCTGGGTTGACCTGAGGCTGAGCTATTCCTGCGTCCAGGGCCTCAGAGGGCCGAGGAGTGGGGGGGTCCAGAGAGCTCTACCCGTCCTCCAAAAAGCAGTCATTGAAGAGATTCTACAGGCCCCTGTAGGCCTGTAGCATCCCATATCAAACAACGTTATAGGCTCATAGGCGTACAAAAAGAAGTGAGAACAGCAACAAAGCACCTGGCTTTGTTGCTTAGACCGGACTCATTTCAGAGGGCAATGGGGAGAGAGAAGCTGTCTTTGGTCAGGTGTCACTACTGAGAGAATATCAGGGAATATCAACATCCAGAAGCCTAAGGATGTGGTGAACCCCATGTGAATCCCATGACTAGGTGGTCAGAACAGTTTCGTGCCATCATTTGCCATCTAATTCTGACGTCCTTCACTCATTCTTTTCATCCCCGATCACACTCCCACCAGGTGGCCGTAGGCAACCCAGCGGAGCTCACTGTGATCTCGGGTGGAGCGCCAGGCAGCGAAGCGCTGCTGAAACTCAAGTTTCCATTGCATTTTGGGGGGCATGGGTGTGGCCACTGAAAGTCAGTCATTGATTTCATTGGTATATACACTGGATAGTGGTTTCAAAGATGTTTAGTTCAACCAGTACTTTGCAATTATTGATCCATTGATTAATCTTTTTCATGAGTCGAAACCACCAACCAATTGAGATGGATGAGGTGGGCCAATGGGCGTGGATCAATTCCCCATGTGCAAACTGAAAGCTTTTGGCAGCAATTGACCTACGTGTCAGATACTGTCATATCCGCTTTCTCTCCGTGACATCCTTAGGCAGAGAGGTTTTAAGATTATACTCAATTTTGGTGGGATTAACGGATTTTGGCACTTGGTCACAGGAATGCCCTGAAGAGATTAAAACCCCGCAAACATGGTGATGTGCCACAATGGACGCGAGAACCACACTGAGATCTTAATTCCATGTTTGAGACATCAAGACTTGGTGCCTTTTTCTGGCTGGCTATGGTGTTAGAGTGTTTCACAGCCGGGTCTCTTGGAGCAAGTTATTCGTGATGATTAGATTACAGTAGATTTTATGCCAGATACATGGCTCAGGATGTCCAAGCATAAGTCCAAAGCTTTGGTTAATCAGCCCATGGGACACATGGGGGTTATCTAAGTTGGACGCTACAGGACGTCCACGACCGAGCTCTGCCGGCAGCTCCTGTTTGTTTTAAACAGGATTCTGGTGTTTGGTGGATGGTGGTTATATGGTGCAACCTGGGCTTTGTGAAACAACCTGTTGGGAGGGATACCTATCAAAAAGAAGATTAATTCCTATCAAAAAGAACATTGATTCCTATCAAAAAAACATTAATTCGTATCAAAAATAAAAATTCCCCTACTCCGGGACGTTGGGATTTCTGCTGACTTCTACTTGCTGAACTATACGTCATCTCAAGAAAACGGATCTCAGGACAGGTTTTTTGAAGGGATGCCAAGCAAATCTAGCTTGCATATGAATAGTTCCTCTCAAACCTGCTACGGACTTCGGGGCTCAAGCAGTTTGCAGTTGGACAGCGTCGTTGACTTGGGTTGCCAAAGTTTCGCGACACAAACCATCCCAGTACAGTATTCTGGCGATGCATGACGAAAGGATTGCGCACACGTTTTATATTGTTTGGCGTTTTTCAGGAAGCTGAAACGAACTGAAATAGTAGTTAATAACTGTTACATGGTCGATTACCAAGGCAAATGAGTGGAAACTAGGCTTTCCTTTACCTTGGAATGAAAGGACACTCAAGAACAAGCGGCGCCAAATCAGAGGCAAGCATGAAGAAAGATACTGGTCCTGCCCTTGGCAAAGCAGAACCCCATTTTGGGGGAATGATTCTCAATGTTGATTCTTGTGCATGAGCTCATTCTACGACAACCGCAAAAGAGCTGTTCCAAGCACAATTAATAGAAGTGTTCACACAAAAGTTGTCAGAGCCATCCCACCTATGTCCTATATTGCCCTTCGTTGCTTCTCTTCATGCGTGTTCTTTGCATGCATGGTAATCTTTTGCCGTTTGATTCGATGATGACTTTGTTCGAAGACAAATTTATTCACCTTCCGATGAATGATGAACGTCGCCGAGCGGCCGGCCAATGGCGAACACCGTCGCGCTCTGCCTGGCGGGGCTTTTGCATAGCCTTCCAGTCACTGGGCAAAAAAGACACGACATGATGGACTTGGAGTCGCCGATCTTCTTAGAACGACACTTCACAACACCTCCCACGAGTTTCTTTCCCTATAGCATCTATAGCCCAGCCCTCGTCACTCTAGACCACCTGCGTGAAGACTAACAGAGTTCAAAGAAGAACTTGGATATATGGATAACAACTGACAGACTGCTGGTTTGTAGAAATAGAGCTCCTTCTTCCATGGGAATTCCCGGAATCACGAGCAGGGCCCTCTCTTAGCTCGGTGTTCGTTTCTCCGCGTGCCGCCTCAACGCCCAGCGCACGGCGCAGCGGCTGCAGCACTTCCTGGCAGAACCGCTGGGCGCGGACGTCTTCGTCACGGGGCCGCTGCTCGAACCGGAGGACCGGCCAATCGGGCGACACGGCGATCGAGCCGAAGACGAGCGGAATCGGTGGGCGTCCGGAAGATCGGTTTTTGTTTGAGTTTGGAAAAAACGGAATTCCCCAGACGAGACGGACCCTCACAAGGTGGGATCGGAACCCCCCATTTTGGAGGGGTCTAGGCGGTTTCAATCTAACTGAGTTTGATGGGCCAAGGTGGCCCAGGGCTGTTTGGAGCGTTTGGGTCACACAAGTCCAATTCGTTTAGAGGCTTCAATATCCTTGTGAGTGGGTTGAGCTGAACTCTACACTCTACACGTCAGACAACCTGTTGGGCAAGCGCGACAGCGCTGTCCCCATGCTGTTCTACTTTCGTTCGCCCTTGGAAGGCCGGAAAGCATATCAAAAGAATCTATTGTATACCTTGGAAATAGGGTCTGTATTTTACCAAGTCAGGCGGTTTCTCCAAGCAAACTCATAACAGAGTTCTGCTCCGGTTTGGGCTTTGAGACCTTTTCCTTAGGAGTGGCTGCATGGATTGGCAGAGCTCAGGAGTGCGGGAGTGTGGCTAGGAGCGGGCAGCGGGTGTTGAGAACCCCGGCCCGGATAGCTGTGGCTGAGCACTTCCAAGCGATCAAGAAGCAGTCAACATAGCGACCTTGAAGGTAACCTGTTGGCATCTTTATAGACAGTGAATACTGAATACTTATGAATAATTAGTGAAGATGTTGTTGGTATCAGGCCAGGGTGGTGGTTTTTCGATGTTCCGTTGAAGTTGTCTGGTGATTCTTAGCGCTGTGGACAATTGTTGTTTGATGGTTTTTGTCTGTATGTTGTCATGATGATGCCTATACAAAGTAAATTTGCATGGCACGCATAGCCTCTTAGGGGACAAGCTTCAGATCCAAAGAACTGCGGGATCCATCGGGATCCCGTTTTGTTTTTGGCAACGCCAGATGTCGATGGTCAATTCGGGTCCCCGGTCCCTGGGTTTTGGAACATCTCAACCAGGTAAGTCCAAGGCTTTTTTGCTTTGTGAACCAAAACTGGCACTTGGTGGTCGAAACTCACATGCCGAAAAACAAAGCACTTGGTAAGGTCAATCCACTTAACCCTATCCTTGATGCAACCCACACGAAGGAGCTACCTTAGTAGGTAGGATGACCATTGGTCACCGGAGAGAAAATAGGAGACGAACCATGACGAGCTCCGGTTCAGTTCCGGGGACGCGTTGCCCCGTTGCTGGTCATGCGCGATAGCCGCTGTTGAGCCACACTCGGCCCAAGATCCTTCAGACACTGTAGTGAACTTGAAAGGCATGAGCCAGAGGGTCTCCAATGGAATACCCTGCACTACTCGTGGACCTCGATTGGACACCCTTCCTGATCCTTTTGGAAGGTCCAGCACATGTCGTTTCAGTTGGGGATGCTCTTCCATTGGAAGTGTCAGGACCTTGCAGACCGTCCGCTTGGAGAAGCATGGACCAACGCGCGGGTGGGTCCGATGGAGGGGCCTCCAGGGGGCTCGCGTCCGGGTGGGGATGAGGATCACTGCGATCACAGGAAGTTGGCTGAAGATGTTGATGGTTTGTGGCCGGAGGCCGCCCCAAATGCGAACTGTAATTGTATTTCCCCCCTCGCATATCCAACACTTTATGTAGTGTTGGGAAGCATGAAGCACTTTACTTGGGCCGTCCACTATGCAACGTATATATCCCCCGTGATTGTGGGCTTATAAAATGCAAGACACATTTTATAAACATTAGGGTTTGTTTTTAAAGGATAACTACATAAGATCTGGAGTATCGTCATTTTATAAACTTTATTAACTTGGACACTGAATGACAGCAATAGAGGGCAGGTGAACCCCGTAATCTCATTTTATAAACATTCACTTGTCGAGTTGTCAGAGGATGGTCAGAACATGATTTCTCATTACTGTCTAAAAAGGTATTGATTTTTCACTTTTTTTCTATAAATCCTAAATTTTAAGAAATGGCCTCAAACCTCTTCAAACCTCAAGGAAAGACAGGAACTGAAGGAATATGACCAGGAAAATAACTAAGAATTAAACATTAACTAGCTACTTTTGGTGCACTTTTCTCCTCTCCCCCTTTCTCTGTGTCTCTTCCAGATAGTTTGCTGGTCTAATTCCTGTCTTTCATTATTGAACATATTAATAAATTTTCAGAATCTGAAAATTCAGAATCTGAATCATTACTAAAGAATAACTATTTCAGAATCTTGAGATCTTGACATGACAAATGTTCATTTTATAAAGTATCTGGATTTGGCTTCTTACGGACATTTCCGATGAGCAATTTGCATTTTATAAAGTGTTTCTTCCTGGATGTCGATTTCTATCTTAACCTATGACAACCTGTGCTGGTCATTTTATAAACTAGTTGGTTTTCATTTTATAAACAAAAAACTATCCCATAAAATGCAAAATCAGCGCGCCTCTGAATCATCACGGGGGATACGTATATATTATATGTAATATAATATAGAACTATACATATACACGCACTCACATACACACACCAGTGTACAGTTAGATTGTATGGACACACACTGTTTGAACTTATTGAGATATGCACAGATCTTGACACACAGAGAGAGAGAGAGAGAGAGAAATACATAATTGGTATAGGTTTGGCCGCAGCAATCATGTTGTTTTCACGTTAGGCGAAGAGGCGAACGCGGCACGAAATCGAATGAATGGTTTGTTTAGACTTGAGCCAGGGACAACAGGTAGAGACGCTGAGCCAAAGCGGAGCGAAGAAATTCAGCTGGACGTTGCGCTGAAGATTGTTGTTGGAGCCTGGCTGCTGAGCAACGATGCGATTTCGTGTCAGATGTGCAGAGCTAGCAAGGGTTTGGTCTAGCTTTGGACTGGGTTGCGTTAACACATGAGAACTCGTCACACTCTCTACTGTATAGGTTTTACACAGAATTGCGGAACAGTTGGCGTCCGGAATCCAGGATTGCCCCGGATTCGGGGCAGGGTCGACACAAGGAACATGCTTTCTTTCCGCGCCCCCCTTTGCGCTGCAAGGAAAGAAAATGTGACGGCAGCCTTGTACAGCCACATGCCTGAAATATGGTGCTTCGATGGGAACACGATTTGCGTTCTGCGCTCACGAATGGGGGTGCATGAAGTGCTTACTCATGGAGACCTGGGTCAAAAGCCAAGCTAGATCTTTCAGCTTGCAGAAGTTGCAGGAGCAATGATCAAACTAACATGCAAATCATTTTTGCTTGGTGGGTTGCTCAAGAAATCCTTAGCTTTGTTTTGCGGCGGATGAGGACATCAAACGAGACAGCGAAAAAACCGTTTGAGCGGCCAACCGCACAACGGTCAGGTTCCAAGTCGCCCTTCTTGGCCGAAGCGCTGAAGATCCGTGGGAACTGGCTCGGCTGTTTGGACCGAGAGCTTCCAGAGAGCAGAGGCCGCAGTCCGAGAGCGACATGTCGGTCGCACCCAGGGCCCACGAACGCACGTTGCTATAAACAATCTATAACACAGATATTATGGCTCGCGCCCGATGTGTGAAAGATCACCATTGGAGTTTGAGAGTTGGTACGGTCTTCGGCGGAATGGATGGGTTTGGAGAGAGGACGAAGCTCGTTCGTCCATTCCTTGAAGGGTTTTGTTCATCAAGACTTGACTATAGATATATACGTGACATCTCAACACGTCCGTCGTTCCCGGTTCAGGTCGAGACATGCGCCGCAAGGGCAGCGGACTTTGCCTCATCTATGGGCAGAAGCAATGCATGCTGATGATCGAGGACAAGAGGAACAATGCGCCACTTGCGAGGAATTAAAGCAGAACAGAGATGGTGGAATCGACGAGACGGGGTCACTGACCCGAAGAATACCTATAGTTCTTGAGACCGGCACGTTTACGGGGTCCGGCACCTAACTTCCAACTCGGGCGTTTTTCTGCATTTGGTCCGGCAGTTTTTCCAAGTCACTACTACGCTACTACGATCTACTATGTGGATTCTCAAGGCTTTGCAGTCTTTGTGGTCCATATTTCTTGGAAGGTAAACCCACTGCTGATATGATTTTGCTTGTAAAGTTTGCCCGTTTGCCTGTTCGGCTGCTTTCTCATGCCGCCGGTTTCAACACAGTGGCTCACTGGTTCACACTGGCTCAACCAGGGATCTTCTAAATATCGCCGTGAATTCGGCACAGTACCATGCACATGGCACATGTTGAAAGATACAGGTGGGTGTACCTAAGCGGTTTGCAGACCATGCCGGACAAGTTTTGTTTTGTGGAACGCGTGCGGTTCAGACATTCGATGTGTTGCAGAGAGTTGCCCAAAACAGACACGTCATGGTTCAGACACGTCAGCTTACGTAACTCCGGCGTTGCTCAGTTTGTGGAGGGGCTTGCCTCTTGAGTCAGACAGAAGAGTGATTGGACCCAGGGGTGCTACCTTGGACCCATGGGGTCAAGGTCCTAAGGTCCTAAGGCAAGCTAAAAGCTTCCTGAGGAGCAAACCACCTTTAGTAAAGAACTTTAAAAGACACGGTTGCAGAGAGAGAGGGGCTCCTTGCCACATACTCTTCTTTTGTTCTTGGAAGTGTTTGCTTGGGCACAGGTTAGCTTATATTTTGGGAAAGTTCTGCTCTTATAGGCCATTCGGAAGATGGGCAAGGGCAAGGGAAACGGGAAGGCACCAGTGTTGGGTTGTGGGATATGCGTGTTCCGGAAAAGACAGCTACCCGTGGCGCAAAGGGCTTGCTTGTGCATGATCCAGCCTTCCACCATCCCTGTTTTGCAGAATCTTGGACCGGGATGTCTTGTCAGGTCTTCGTTTCCTCTGAATCCGGTTGAAATCTTTTGCCGGATTGAAGTCCGGCTCTTTCTTCAGCCCTAAGGCCCTAAGGAGGATCCAGGTAATAGGATAGCTGAGGAGGATGCGTGGTAGGAGGAGATTGGTTTGGGCCTTTGTTCCACGAAACTGCTGATTGTTTGTGGAAGTGTAGACTGAACCTGCGTGCGCTGTTCATTTTTCAGAAGTTCAACTGTCTATGTGTGGAGGTTGCGTTGAGGTTACACATGGTTGTTGTCCAAATTGCATCCCTGCTGGAACAATGAACGATAGGGACGAACCATTCAGGTGTTGAGCTGTTGACGGGTGGCACTTGTTGTGCTGGTTATGGCCATGGTGACTCCTTTGGGTGATGTAAGAGGAGGACATGAGGAGCAGAGCTTGGTGAGGTCTTCTGAAATGCATGTATTAACATATATGAGGGGTTGCGTACGCCTTACGCTTTACTGTTTGTTTTGGCTGTTTTTTGTGCAACGGTTTATGTCTCTCTATGTATAGAAAGTGTTCATTTACAGTAGTCTACATAGTCGATATATATATATATATGATATGCATATATGTATTTACGTGTGACGTGTGTTTGGTCCTAAACTGAAGTTTCTGGCTAGTTTGCTTTGCTTTGCAACGTCAATTGCTCTACAGATTCTGTTTTCCTTGGCTCAGCGGGCAACCGCATTTTTCTACTCCCGACGACCATCGATGAACACGCAGGACTGGGAGGCTAAGCGTGGCAGGCCCTACGAGCGCATCATTTTTAGCCGACCAGACTTCCATTGGAATCTGCGAAGAACGGATGGCGCGGGTGGAAGGTGGCACCGGTGGTTCCACTGCCTGGTCTCCCAAGAAGCGCGGGCCGGGAACCCTCCCAACCATGGGGATGTTCATCGTTCGGTGGTTTGGTACTTTGTGACACTTTGTCCCTAGGGATCCAAGTACCTCCTCAAATGGTACTTGGACACCCCAAACACCTTCTCAGAGGGTACTTGGATCCTTAGGGTGTGACAATATTTTGCCGTTTTCATTGCAGAGCTGAGCCTCAGGAGATGGATTGTCGGAGTTTTACGCATCCCGCATCAGCACCTTCTGACCATGGAGAAAATTTAAGACGCTAGCACGATGCGCATCCTGCTCAGCACAATTTTTCATGTCCGGTACTGCCGGTACTGATATAAAAATATAAATTAATTAAGCTTATAAGGCGTGATGCGGACCTCTTCTTTAATCTCTCCTCATCCCATTTCCTAACTACTCAGACAAGAGGCTTCGGTGTCAAAAACGAGTTCCTGAGCCGCTCTGCCCATTCCCGCTTCAGGTCTCGCTTCCTTTTCCGGGGGCGGACAAACCCCAGAGGCTCACCCACATGGGCGTGTATTAAACTAGGGAAGACCCCTTCAAGGAGCCCTGGGAACGAAATCCATTGGTTGGGAGGTGGACCCCTATTAAAATACACAGTAGGGGGATTGCTGATTGCTGGTCCCCTCAGGATCGCTCCTCACATTCCACTGTCCTACCTCTCCACCGAGCACATTTGGGTCATGGATGGTGAGGACTTCCACGTGCTTCGCACCGTTCGTCGGTTTCGGCGGTGGGAAAGAGGGGACACGTGGTATGCGGAAGGTTTGGGTAGAAGTGGTCACTGACCACACCCCAAACAGCTGGCTTGTGCCGGGAAGGTTGCACTTGAACGAAAGGAAACCACACTCTTCACCTGAGCTGGTGCAAATTCTTCAGGAGATCCCACAAGTCAAAGTGTGCGGCTCTATGTGCTTGTTGGGATGCAACTTCCATCCGAGCGGAATCCGAACAAGTTCCTTCTCGCTTCGTTCCTCGGGCACCGTGCACCGGATGACCCGTCTACGGCCCAGCGCCGGCCCGGAAGCGGTCGTGGTCGGACGCGGTCGGAGGACAACGGTGGCCTCAATGACCGTCATTGGATTTTCCCGCGGCATTTGATGCGAGTGGTCCTGGGCGCCTGGGTTCCTTGGCTGTCGGTAGGCAGCGTAGGCAGCTCCCCATGCGTGGTGATGAGCAGGGAACCAGCCGCAGGTGTCTTTTTGCATGTGATGGGTGTTCTTGTTTGGGGTGGTGGTGGTGATAATTCATTGCACAGCGGCCGCAGACATGAGTCATAGGTGTGCGCAAGAGCACTGAAAGAGGGGTGGTGGTGTTCAAGATCCGCGCACCACGGCACTGGTTTGGACCGATGGATTGGGCGCCCCCGGTGGAACGATCAGGATCACACCGGTCATTCGTTGGAATCCTTCAAGTGAATGTCCGATTTCATGGCTCATGCATGCTGCTTTTGGAGATGTTTGCTTGTGGTGTTTTGATGATTTTATTATGACATATTATGACTCTGATTCTATATTATATATGTGTTTCTTTTTGGGTGTGTGTTTGTGTTTGTGTGTTTCCCTTGTCTAAAGGTCATGCCATGCATCATGCATCATCAGAGTCCTTGCTTTTGCCGCCTCCGGACCGCTGTATCTCCGTTTGATCAGATCAGCGGCTTCCGAGGATCATATTGTCGACGGCTTCGTTGTATGGATGCACCAGGCAGCCACGTTGGGTTGAAGAATTCAGAATTGGTGAGGAAAAGAGGGGCTTCCGAGAAAGAGGGGACAGGCAGGAGAAAGGATGAGGTGCTTTCTCCGGCAAGAATGAGGCACTTCATATGTTGTTTTCGGGAACGATGGGCATACCTGGTTCTGACAGACCCACAAAGCCACGGTCACTGACAACTGACAACCAATTAAATTGGTGAAGTCAGTTGTTGAGCAAAAATTGCAAAACCGGCGTTGCTCTTGACATCTCTTGACTGTTTCCTACCTCCATCCAAACCTTCACATGCCGATGGAGTGTGCAGTGTCATGCATGTCAGGCTGCTGGGCAAGCTTCAACCGAGGGAAAAGGACTACTCTCCGAGTCACTAACATGGAAGTGGAAAATGGTCCGCGGGAAGGCTTCTTTTTTTTGCTACCAATGCGGAGGTTTCCAGTTCCATGTCAGTGAGTCGGAGTCTATGTTGTATTCCAGTTCGAGAAGTTGATTTTCGGTTGAGCTTCCATTTGGCCGTGGTGCACAATTACGATCGGGCTTGAGCAAAGGACCACAAAGAAAAGAGCTTATACTTGTCCCCACTGAATAGAAAGGGGATTCTCCTGGATACCTTTTCAGAAATGCAGGAATGACTACCGTACTCCATCCAGTGCTTTGGTGGCTTGGTAAGAATGGCAGAATGGGTATGTTTCTTCCCATTTCAAGATGTGATCACCTGCTGATAGAGTGGTCCTGCACTGCTAGGCGGCACAGGTGCTACCCTGGTGGGGTGCGGAGAGCCTTGATCAGAAATGCGGAAGGGGAAGCGGGCCAACGTGAGGAGAACAACCAATAATCGGACCCGCTGAGCTGTGACGCATTCTATTTTGTGTTGTTGAAATGGGTTGTACAATCCAAATGGAGGGTTACTGTATTTGGCTTCACTGTTTTCTTTTGTGCTATGACAAGCATCGTCTTGCTCAGTAGTATTTGACATTTGGAAAGACCCACCTAAGGGGTAGAGTTTTTTGCGTGCTCATCAGACCGCAAGTTCGCGCATCCAAATGGAGGGTTTCTCTATCAATCAAGATTAGCTATATACTGTACTAGGACTGAATCGATGATTTGACAAGTATAGCTGCCTTGATTCTCTTCTTTGCCAGGCTGCAGCGGATTGATGCTGTTTCCACTACGTAGTGGGCCAAACCATCCACCGGATTGCAAGACCTATGAGACCCTCATATATCATCATATACCATATATCATATATCCTTGTAAGAATCACCATCCCCCCCTCTTTGGTCAAGCATGGAAGCTGCTAGGCTAGAGAAGAAGTTGCTTGGAGGTAATCTGGGGTAATGTACCAATTACGTATTATACTTTGTTTTTCTGCCAGATCCTAGCAATAGTTTCTACGGTGAGTTTGTGCTTAGCTCAGGGTCATTTTTCAGCCTCAGGACCTTCTTCGGCCTCCGCTTGATGCAGCTGGGCTATCACGAGCTCATCCGGCGCCTGCCAGCGCCGTGGCCGCAGGACATTCCGCATAGAAAACAAGGAAGAGGTTTTCCGCTGGCCGAGCCAAGGCTTATCAGCGTGGAGAGGGTAGCAAGAACCAGTCGTGAAACTTGTCCAATGGATTGGAGGCAATATGACATCAGACGGCAGTTGCTTTCCCCATGAGCAAGCACAGCAAATGGAAGCATGCAAATCAAGACTGGGTGGAACCTCACTCACCTTCAATTCTTCTCAGTGATTCGTTCTGTGTCGATCTTGTCAGTGATTCGTTCTGTTTCGATCTCACCAAAGACAGGGCTTGCAATCTTGTAAAGTGCGAACCGCATCCAGTCGCATCATTCGACTGTTGAGTGATGTTGAATGAATCATACCCAGACTCAGACACTCCATGTATGACAGGACCTATTCACGAAAGCTAGCCTTAGCTAGCTGGAGTTGCTCTTGCTTTAGCAAGTTAAGTGACGGGGTGGACGCACCTCAGAAACCTCAAATAATTGATTAAATCAATCTTATGGACCCCCCCCCCGGTTCGACTCCCCCCTGCGCGCGGTGAGCGGGACCACCAAGCAGCTGCAGCAAACCACAAAGGAGCAGCAGCAGCAGAAGCAGCAGACCCAGAGCAGCAGCAGCAGCAGCAGACCACCCAGCGCCAGCAGCAGCAGACGACCCGGCGCCAGCAGAGCACCCAGCGCAGCAGCGCCCATCCCTGACGACCCGACTCTCGTTCACCCCCTAGCTAGCTTTCGTTCACCCCCTCTGGCCTCAAGTTGTTTACATTTACCTACCTGCATTGGGGTGGTTTCAGGGTCAAATATTCCATACATGAGTCTATGCATATCATGTATTGATATGAGTATTGGTATGTATTGTATTAATGTATAGTTGTTATATATGAGGGCACCTACTAGTGGGTCAGCCAAGCCGCGACTGTGGCGGTGAGTTCGGTGGAAAATCCTACAGTTCGGTGGCAAAACCCTCGTTTTGCACGGCACATCTCATGAAGTCCCTCGTTTTCCTCGCCAGGGTCCATCGTTGGAAGAATTCCATCAAAATCCATGTTGCAGATCCCTCCCAAAGAAACTCAAGGAGTCTATTTTTGCACAGCATTCCAAAGTGGTACATAGTTTCAGACTGTTTCAAATGACACTGCGACTGTGCTGGCTTTTGGATTTGTGGGCAATTGCCGAAAAAGAGCCTAAGGTGCCTGCCTTTCTCGAGTGCTCGAACCGTTACAGCCGCAAGGCGATGGGCAATACTCCGTGCAAGCAACAAAAGCCATTGCAGGTTGTGTAAGCAAGAGAAAAGAAAGACATCAGAAAGGCTCTCTGCAAGGAAGGATGCTTTGGGTGTTGTTGGATGCTCCGAGTTCGAGTAATCAGCCCTTTCATTGACCAAAGCACGACCAATGGTCACGACTGGATAGCTCCAGTTTTGGTTGATGTGTTGCTTGGTACCGACCTGGAGCACCATCTTGGGGAGAACGGCCATGCCGGGCAGGGTGCAGCAACCCCTGGTCGGCACCGCACCTTCCACTGTGCTGCAGTCTCGAAAAGATCAACAAATGCAACGAGCTCTCAGACTTCTTGCTTTCCCACCTCAGAACTGCAAAAAATACGGACAATTAACACCTGAAAACCACTGGGTTGTACAGGAAAATCGTCTTCGAAAGGTAAATAATCACGCTCCATGTGGCTCTCTTCCCAGGTGTATCAAAGATATCCCCGTGTTCCTAGAAGCTGCTACTAGTAGCTTCTTCTTGCTCCTAGCGATGCCCTTTGTTGCTATAGCAGCTTTCAAACCACACCCTCCTAGTCCCACCTGCTTGCCAAGCTGCTCAAGCTGCTCAGCGCTGCATCGCGGAATCGGGCAGGAAGTGGACACCAGCGCGGTGTCGGTGAACGACACGGCTCGCCTGAGTGAGAGCAAGCTCCGGTGCCACTTGGGAGGACCCAAGTATCGGCACGAACACCACCAGGTGCCGCGGATGGGGCGCGAGAGAAGACGGCGGCGCGCGAGAGTCCAAAACCCAAAGACATAGTGAGACATATTACATATTACATCATATTACATATTAATGACAGAAGTAATGACAGATATAAACAAGATGAGCTGCGCGGAGTTTTTCTTGCGGCTTTCTTACGCCGTACGCCGCAATAGGGGTCGTGTGGTGTTTTGAAGGAACCGAAAAGCCATGCGAATGGCGGTTGGCCACTTGTAAGGGTTCGGGTCATCCAAGATCTAGCACAAGAGTTTAAGCAACATGGACCTACCGTCGACCCGTTCAGACCTCACCCAAGTCCATCATGTTTGGACAGCAGTAATTGATTTTGCTTGAACTCACTAGAACAACTTTGTTTTTCTATATTGCATAAATAAATATATATATATATATATGTATTGCATACATATGCATTTCCCCAAGCTCTTGTGCGTTGGTCATTGGTTTGCCCGTCCCACGAATTCCACCGTTTCCGGGTTTTTCTCCCCCATGGCGAGGCAGAGAAGTTGGCTGCGTGCTTTGGAGACCATGAGCAATGGTCCTGGGCGCTGATTTGGGTTTGTTGGTGCGAGGCTCCGGGTTCAGCGGTGCGAGGCTTTTCAGCGATCGAACTGTAAAACAGGCTCGACTCTACAGTCCAAAAGTGCATTGCTACTAATATAGCTATATAATGTGCATCGCTACTAGTAGCTAATGTGCTACTATGTTTAGCATTGTTTAGCTATTTGCTACTGGTAGTAATGCACGTGTTACTACTAATAGTGATGCCCTTGTTACTAATAGTAATGCCCTAGCTACTCGACAGGGCTTGGCCTTGCTGGGAAGGTGCTATTTAAACTTAAAAAACGGTTTCCTCCTCGGACCGTGCATCGGAGTGTGCGACCGATCTTGGAAGTGGTGGGTCCTGGGTTTCTGGGTTTTGGGGTCCGACTCCATCCACCAACAGGGCCTTTTCCACTTCCAAGATTTTTCGGTTTGTTGGGTGAAGGGGAGCAGATGAAACCTGCGCAGCCTGCGGGTTTTTCACATCACGGGCTTGGACATGACGGGGGAAGCATCTCTACGAGGACAATGCTATGGAGATTGTGGAGACGATCAGCCCGGCTCATCCCGGCTCCTTCCCAAGAGGATTTGGAACATCCTTTTGACAATATGCGAAGCCTATGAAGGCAGCCCGGCCATGGACATTCTTTCAGAACTGGGAAAGGGAAAGGGACAAAAAACACGACTCACGCGCGCATCTCTGGCAGGTGAAATTTCGCCGTGGCATGCTGCAGTTCTTAGACTATGAGCTTTGCGACTCCACGCTCAGAGAAGTGACTCAAAAGACTGCCGAGCCATACGTCTTCCTTTCGCGCACCAATGAGCATTTGAGGACTAGATTTAAGGATCTAAGAGGTGTGGACAGAGTATTGTGTCGCCATGATGACATACGATGACAACACTATATATAGTAGGTGTTTTTTTCGCTACACACCTTTTGAGCAAATGAGTCACTACCAGAAAGTCTCTTAGCTTGTATGCCAGTTCGGTTCTTTTTTGGGACTGGGTCATGGTGCTGAGAGGCACCAGCTCCTCCTTGGCCTGCGCCACTGGTGGTCCAACAGCAGCTTGGTGTTGAGCTGGATGGGGACGGAATGTCAGCGAAGGACTGTGGCTTCATGATGCTTCATGTGGCTTCACTCAGGTCTATTCCACTGCAGCCGATCGCACCGTGGAGGAGGCGAGCAGAACGACGAGCTGTCCTGGTGAGAGCAGTGATGGCCATGAGCCAGCAGAAATGAGCCAGCAGAAATCATGAGAGAGACAGAGGGCGTCAGACCACCTAGAAAACGTGTGTTGTTTTTCTTTGGTCATGTTGATACGAGTTGATAGAGTTTTGCTTGAGATTCAGATACCTTTGAATGGCACGCATTACTGTATTGAGAGGAGAAGCCTGAAGTAGTTCCAGATGACCAAGGCTTTAGCTTTGGTCATCTGGACCCACGATGACAAAAGCTCAGCTTTGTTGGTAGGCACCTGCAGGGGAGAAGCTCAATGGTACCACTACGGTGCGCACCTCAGATTTGTAGGGACGTTCGGGGTTCATTTCTATTCTAAGTATATAATTAAAGCATATAGTCATATAGAGGCTATATACTTAGGCTATAGGAAGCCCCCAAGTCCAGCTCCTTCAGAAAATGACCTCTTATATGAGGTGACGCAGGTGAACCCATTGGCTTCCGACAGAACAGCCGCAGGTGAACCCAAAACTGCTTGCCGCCACGCCGTCATCGGCACTTTTGCAGGGGCCGTTGGGTCAGACGAGGGCAGAGTGCCAAGAGATCCTCATCGGAGTTGCCAGGGAGGAGCGGTGGATGGGGGTGACAGGCATGACAGGTATGGACGCGTGGTTATGACGACAAGATTAGGTGACTGACTGGTGTGATTTTTGTTCTCGCTCCTTGTGGAAGAAACATGGCATGGTGGTGCAGTTGTCTCTTGTGCTCGGTTTGGCTTGGATCTCTTCTATTACAGTCAGCGGCTTGGCGCCATCAAACCAGTTTATTGAACCAAGAGATGCCCAGAATATGTCCTCATAAATGGATGGCAATGATACATGATATATCATGATATGCTGGACTATCAAATGGTGAAGGATTTGCTTAGAGTTGCCTCCATGCCTCAACTATCTACTTGCTCCAGGCTGGCAAGGGAGGCCGTGCCGCCGTGTTGCGGGCCTTGGCCGGATGCCTTAGCGGGCCTTGGCTGTAACCCGCAGCGGGTTCTGGAGATGCCTAGGCTTCCGCAGCCACACATTGTAGAGTTTGCAGTTGTTGTTGTTGTTGTTGTTGTTGTTGTTGTTGTTGTTGTTCTTGTGCTTTGAACCCGGCGCCGAAACCGCGCAGTGTTCCATCCAATCTTGAAGGTCTTCTTGAAGTCTTGAAGGGCAAAAGCCCCAAATCCAAGCGGAACATCTCTAAAAGCGCTCAGTATGATTTGTGTAGAAATATCACACACACACATATATATATAAAACCTGAACCAGCAGACAGTACAAGCTTCGACTTTACATTGCCTGTATATGCCTGTATGTTGATCTCAGTTATGCTGACAGCACACTTCAAGTCAACATCCTACCCCAAAACAGGATTATGTACAATGGGCGTGTGATCTAGGCAGCGCAGCATCGAACAACCAAGATAAATATGCCCTCTAAAGTAAACATGGATTCTGAAAACCACTGGTTTGTGGAAGCAAGTCTTCCAAGTCCAAAGCTACATGCCATCAAGTTCCATGTGGGTCTGCTCCCGGGTGTACTGTACGTGACATGCCATTGGCTTGCGGGGTCTTTGATCCTCTCTTTCTTGCTCTCTCTCTCTCTCTCTCTGCTGTCTCTGTCGGAACCCTGTTTAGTGTCATGACATGAAGTGCCTTCTCCGGTGTTTCCGTGCCTTGTTACATGGTCCATGTTACATGGTGTCACCGTGCCAGTAGTGAGTCACCT